TATTTTTGAAAGCATTCTTACTTTACAGCATTTTTTCACACCTGCCTAAAACTTTTGGACAGTACTATATATTAAAAAATAAAGAACTGTTTGATAGAAACACTGAACAACCAGTGGTAAACTGGTCTTACCCGAAGGACCATTTTTCTCCAAGGTTCTTTGTGAGGATTCAATTCATAAATATTGTTCTTTCTTACTGCTTCAATATAAGCTTCATGGCCTTGTCGAAAATATATCACCTAATGTAAAGAAGAATTTAAGTCAAACAATGAAAAACAATTCTATACTTAATTTAACTGAAACATTAGGATGAACTCTGAACCCTTTAAGAAGCTGATTGGCATCCTGAAAATAGGTAATTTTCCTTATTGTCCAGGGAGAGGGATTATATGGCCTCTTTCTCTGCAGAGTTTTAGCTATTGGACTTAAACTGGAGAAATCCATTACAACAAAGAAAAATAAACAGAGGAATCCCTTCCGTAATGGGGCCTACCACAAACGTAAGCAAAAGTGTATTTAAGTTTCTTGACAATGCCAAGATGAGTATGCCACTCACTGATTAGCAGTGGAGTTGGGAACACTGTGTCACACCAAAGGAGAATGAATTTTCATAATAAATTTCAATGTTTAATTCTCAGTTTGATGTGAGATGGAAAATGCACAAACCCATTCTATAGGGGAAAGCGGCTGATGCTATTGAGAAAGATCATGCTATAGCTTTCTTCTCCAAAATGCTACTTTTGCAATGGAAATTATATCCAACTTGTAGCATTTAGTTAAAATATTTAGTGTAATCCATGTAGCACCTTACACCTTACAGAAAGCAGGGGATGTGCATGCCACCGCTGTAGAATGAGTTGTGACAGGAACTCTGGATATTTACCATGATAATTACTTCTCATTTGCTGTGAAGGCAGCTACACAATAAGATAAACTCCCCCTATGGCCGAGAAAGGCAGTGACTCAAATCTTTATCCTATCTAAGTCTTTGGTTTCTCATTCCTTCCAGTTCCTTCCATGGCAAAACTTTAGCCAATTCAACTATGGAGTAGCCCATAAATCAAGATGAGAAAAGCAGGAAGATAAATGAATTGAAAAAAAAAAAATCTGTGCAAGTACAACACAAGTGTTGTAATAAGATACTTTCCCTTCCCAAGCATTTCCAGGGTGGGAGTGGATGTGTTTTTCATATCAAACAGGAAGTAATCTTCATGGCCAGTTTTCAATGTTCCTTTCTCAGTTTAATGTTAACAAAGCAGGCACTCAATAGATTACATTAATTATAGGTTGCCTCAGAGACTTGAGTAATTCATTCCACTTGAGAACTATAAACCTTTTCCCCGCCCCCATTTTTGAGCCAAATCGAATGAAAAGCTACATGCTGTAGATCTCATCTGCCAAAGGCAGCCTTGTTAGAGGCACATACATCCAACTCACATAAAACTTGATAAAATGAAAGATGACTAAATGGCTGACCTATAAATTTTTGAAAATAGTAAAAACGGTGCTGAAACTGAGGTTGCCCTCACTGAATGAGACACAAGGCCCACTGGTTTAGACAGCTTCTAATGCTCATAAACCCAAAATATGCAGGCTATATATAAATATGCTTGACATTTTAGACTCTACAGAGGCTGGATGAAAGGAGCCAAAAAGTTACTCTTTTCGTAAATGGTCTGATAATGCCGAATGTAAATGTTACTGACATACATCCAATCTGCGCCATGTTCTTTCTGGGAAATGAGAAAATGTTGGACAGAATTAGAAAAAGATGACTTTCCATTCCCTGTGTAATGGTGAATTTACTTTGAAAATGAAAGAGCGATACAGTTGATTTCTGTCTCATTGCTAAATACAGAAAATCTTAGAGATCTGGCTAACGTATCATTTATAAATTCAGATGATAGTATTTGTACGGAAATTGAAATCAGAAATTCTACAACTGAGAGCTCATGTTCTGGCTCCAAATAGAAAAATGGTAGATGAGAGGAGGCTTCAACAGGGAGGGAGGATCTGGGAGGGTGTTTGGGAGTGCATGAGGATACTAGGATCCACCTTGTGGGTGGGAGACGGGAGGTGTGAGGGAGTGAGTGGGATGCCCACCCTGCCGACTAGTGAGAGAGGTCATGCAGGGAGGCAGAGGGTGTGAGGGAGTTTGGTGGGGGGTAAGGTTTGGTGGGGGGTGGGCCCTGGTGGCACCAAGAGCATGAGCTGGTGTGCCGGGGCAACCCTCCCTCACCTGTGAACGTCTGGGTACTAGGATGATTGGTTGAAAGGAGGAACCCTTGCTCCTGATTAGGGACCCCAGAGGTCTAGGATTGGAGGCATTTGGGCCCGGATCCCCCAGAGGCTATGCAGTGGGCTACACTATTAAGGTGGTGACAGGTAGGGGACGATATGGCAGGAGCTGGAAGGCAGGCCATCTTCAGGGAAGACACCCTCAGTGTGTGTTACTGGTGGCATGTTACAGCCCTCCTGGCTCATTCCCAGGCCCTGGTCTTCAGCTGCTGCTGCTGCTTAATGCCAGGTCAGTTAACAAGGCCCCCTTCATATGTGACTTGAACACCGAGGAGCGGGCAGACCTGGGATGTATTACTGAGACCTGGCTGGGGCCTGAGGGGGGGTGCCCCTCTCAGAAATGCACCCAGCTGGGTCCACCATGTGGTACCAGCCGAGATGCCAGGGCAGGGGAGGAGGGGTGGCTGTTGTCATCTGGGAATCTCTGTTGGCCTTCAGGGGCATTGCTCCACAGGTTTCTGGCTATGAGACACTGTTCTTTAGGTTGGATTCCAGTGAACAGTCGGGAGTGCTACTACTGTACCAGCCTCCCTGCTGCGTGGCAGCCTCCCTGCCTGAGCTGCTGGAGGCCATCTCGGGGGTGGTGGTGGAGTTCCCCAGGCTTATGGTTCTGGGGGACTTCAACCTGCCATCCCTGGGACAGTCCTCGGAGGTGGCTCAGGCGTTCATGGCTACCATGGCAGCCATGGGCCTGTTTCAAATTGTGCAGGACCCAACCCGAGACAGTGGCCATATGCCAGATTTGGTCTTCTTGTCGAAAGTGATCTGAGGGGAGATTTACAGCTTTCC